CAGCGTCCATAGAGACAGTCTCTGGACAATTTTACGACATTATGGAATTCCTGAAAAGATAGTCAACATAATTGCTCTCTTATATAAAGACTTTTCCTGCAGTATAAAAAATTACAATACATCTTTCTCACTAAAGACAGGTGTAAGACGGGGATGTGTCATGTCATCTCTCCTCTTCAACCTTGTGATTGATTGGATACTACAGAAAACAGTGGACAAGACATTGAGAGGCATATACGATGGACTCCATTCACCATGCTCGAGGACCTTGATTTTGCAGATGATGTAGCACTCCTATCACATAAACATGACCATATACAAGAGAAAAGTAACAGACTAAACTGCACAGCAGAAATGGTAGGACTGAGAATAAATACAAAGAAAACTAAGATCATGACAAACAGTCCAAATCAACAACCAGTGACCATAAGTAACCAAACACTTGAAAATGGAGAACATTTCTCATATCTTGGCAGTGTGGTGTCCCTACTGGGAGGGACAGAGAAAGACATACAGTCACGCCTGAACAAAGCTAGAGCTGCTTTTGGAAGGATAAAGCAAATCTGGAAATCCAACAGTTACTGCAGAGGAACAAAACTCCGACTCTACAAGAGCATCATTTTGCCAGTTCTTCTTTATTAAGCAAAATGCTGGGGAATAACCAGAAAGTATGTACACAAGCTGTCCACCTTCCTCCAAACATGTCTACGTAGAATTATCAAAAACTCTAGACAGTATGATAACCAAGAGAAGATGGAAATGGCTTGGCCACGTTGTGAGAATGAATCCTGATATACCAGCCAAAACAGCTCTCATATGAATACCATAGGGAAGGAGAAAAAAAGGGGCGACCCCCGCCCCCCTAAAAAAAACATGAAGACGAGCTTTAGAAAGTGATTTGAGTGTGTCATCTTTGACATGGAAAACTGCACTGAAGATTGCACAGGACAGGAAAGCATGGAAATCCTCTCTGAAGCCTCATGTGCCACTAAGCATAACGAGAACTGATGATGATGATGATTGTGGTTAGTAGTTTTTCTACATGCATTTAGACTATCTCGGAACAAAAAATAGGCAGGCGTGAATGTCCACACTCAAAAGGAGCAGGAGGAGGAGAAGAAGAAGAAGAAGAAGAAGAAGAAGAAGAAGAAGAAGAAGAAGAAGAAGAAGAAGAAGAAGAAGAAGAAGAAGAAGAACAACAACAACAACAACAACAACAACAACAACAACAACAACAACAACAACGGCAACAAGAACGAAGAGGAGAAGAAGAAGAAGAAACGGCAACCGCAAGCAGCAACAGATCAAATAAAAGGAAATGAGGCACATCAACATTAAATGATGACCCCTGTTATCTGCCTGCGTACAGCCTACGTCAGAACTGAAAACCTTCCAATATGGATTGGATGAGCTATTAATTCATTACGTAAGCCACTTACATCTGTCAATACTAAAAGATCAAGTCTAAAACAAGAGGCTTTCCGAGAGCATCGCCCCCTGACTTCCACTCGTTGGATCCCAGAAACAAAACCACATTTCTCCAGTGTTGCCACTTATCTTTGAAAAAAAACATCCAAAACGGAGTCAAAAAATATCTAAAAACATCTAAATGTGCGTGGGAAAACATCTAGAAAAAACATCCGAATGGAAAAAGTAACAAATTACATAGCAATTGATATGATTTACCCTATAGAATCATGTCCCCATCTTTACTGATGTCTGCCTCACAAGATCCACAGGATAAACTTAGCTTGGATGATGAAGTTGAAGCTTCAGATCCAAAATGACTCTGGTATGCTTTAGCTGTTCCAATTTCTGTTAATACCCAATCATGGAGCTGTTAAGTGTAACAGCTTTTTTCTACTCTTATCAGGCCGAATTTTATTGTCAAGATAGCATTTAAGAGGCCAAATGTCATCCTGTTTCTTAGGTTAGATTTGATAAATTCACTCCAAATAAAAACATATAGAAAACATCTACCATCTAAAGGTGAAATAACACCATCTAAGTGGATGGGAAAACATCTAAATATGGATGTAAAACATCCAAAGTGGCAACACTGAATCTTTCACCAGATCACCCGAAACTAACTGTGAAGCTCTGATAACTGTTGATTGCAGAAAAAAAGTCGGGTGTCGTGTCTAGGCATTTAGTCTTCTTAATTCTTCTTTTCTCCTACTAAAATGCTTTGCGGCGTCAGGGAAGGAAGAGGATCTTTAAAGCGGGCCCTTCTGTTCGCTTTGTGTATAGTACTTTTCAGTGTCCCTGATTTTTTTGCGGTCCATCTTCCATCTTGGAACTCTGCGCCGGCTACTGAGGATGAGGACGGGGCGCATATGGGAATGCCCCAGGTGCAGTGATGTTAATTCTTGACTCAACTCAACTCAGCTCTTCTTTTTCTTCTTCCTCTTTCTTTTTCTTCTTCTTCTTTTTTCAATTCTTCTTCATCTTCTTTTTCTTTCTTTCTTTCTTTCTTTCTTTCTTTCTTTCTTTCTTTCTTTCTTTCTTTCTTTCTTTCTTTCTTTCTTTCTTTCTTTCTTTCTTTCTTTCTTTCTTTCTTTCTTTCTTTCTTTCTTTCTTTCTTTCTTTCTTTCTTTCTTTCTTTCTTTCTTTCTTCTTCTTTTTCTTAGTGTTCATCGAAGGATGGATGTTGGTTGTTCGTCCACTTCGGGACTTTGATTTTGCTGGCAGTGCAAAATGTGACTTGCAGAAGCCACATTTCTGGAAGTCAACATAATCGCGGGAAAAGTTGTGCGCTGCAATAGTTTGCTATGGAAAAAACTATGCGAAATGCTTCCCATGAAAAGTCTTCTTTAAATGTGGATATTCTCTTTCTCTCTTTCTCTCTCTTTCTCTCTCTTTCTCTTTCTCTCTCTCTCTCTCTCTCTCTCTCTCTCTCTCTCTCTCTCTCTCTCTCTCTCTCTCTCTCTCTCTTGGTTCCTTCGAACCAAACCTAGGCCAAGAAGGAAAGCAGTGATGAATAACCTTCTTCAAGCGTATTGGGAATATATGACTAGAACAATATTTTATAGACGGATTGGCACTCGGTGGGTAATGTGGTCAATATCACGCCGACCGCCTTGACTTCCCGAGATGTTACCTGGCCTATTTAAGGCTGGGTCCTCCAGAGAGCTAAGGTTATTTTTTTTAAAGTCCGGCTCCTTTAGGATCTGAACCCATGGCCCTCAGATCCGCAGGCGATCGTCTGACCGCTACACCACGTCGGCTCCCACTTGAGATCATGACCAAGAACTATCTGACGGCTGCTTTCAAGCCCAGCCCAACAGGTGTCGCCACATTTGGCGTTAACCTTATGGTGGCCGGGAGAGGGAAGGGACGGTTAGAGTGGAACAGCTATTCCGCCTTGCCCAGGGGTGTCCCAGCAGGCTAGGGAGGGAAAGAGGCACCTTATTTCGCCTTTTATAGAGGATACTACCCCTACCCTGCTAACCTGAATCAGTGAATGTTGTGTACTCCAATGAATACTTTGCCTCTTCGTGAAGTAAAGGAAACGAGCCAAGCTGGAAACAAGCTTTACTCTCTGCCAGCGGTAACATTGTTTCCTCGTTGACATTCCTTCCATTATGGCAGTGTGCTCCACGCTGATCTGCCTTAATCCTCTTCTCACTGCAATTGATTGGGTGTTGGGCCGAACATTCTCTCACAGGAAACGGCCACGACTTTGAGACTTATTTTCAGTGAAAGCCAGTTCTGGGTAAATGACGTACTCGTCCGGCAAGGAAGATTTATTGGGGACTTGAGCGGCCTGTTGTGCTTATTGATTTAATGTTCGCCGGATTCCGGAGTACATCATTCTTGTTTTAATTTGAAGGTTATAACTAAAGCCCTCACAGGAACTGGAAAATATGGTGAGCCAAACTTGATGGAAAGTTTTTATTGAAGTGTCTGTCTTTTTTTTTTTCAGAGTCTGCCTGGGATTATGGCTTTTTCCCGTTAGCTGAGTTTGGAAGACTGGATCAGCAGACTTCTGTTACATCCGGGATAAGTAGTGACGGATCTACCGTCATTGAAGCTGAAGTGGTCTCTCCATTCGCAAACAGTGTTGTGTGTAAATCTAGGAGGCCCTAAATGTTAAATCTACAGTTGGGCTTGGTAAATGTATGTTGGTCCGAGTTTAAATATACAGAAATAGGCTAGAACCTCAAAAGTACATTTTTCATATACAAAGTATTTTTAAGCCCTAATATTTATGGGAATCTACGAAGCTCAAATGTCAGTCTCACAGAGTTTAGACCAACAATAAACTTTAAAGTTTATATTTTAAGCCTGTATATTCATTTCTAAACATTGATTAGAATTGAAATCTTCAGTGCTCAAATGTTTAATGTGCAATCTGGGTTGGAAAATCTATGATGGCCAGAGTTTTATTCTATAAATTGATACTGAAACTGAAACGTATGAAATTTTAAAGCTGCATATATTTTTAAAATACTGGTTCAAACTGACATCGAGGAATACCGCATGTTAAACTTGCAGCTTTGTTTTGGAATTTGTGAATCAACAATTTGAATAAAAAAATTTACATAAGCAAGCACATTTTAAATTCCACTAGAAGCCATTTTGGTTTCAATGTGATGGATTTGTAGTGAAATAAATAAAGATAAGATCTCGTGAATTCCAATTAAACCAAAAGCGACTGTAATGAGAAATATAAACTTTACACAATTATAATGCTGTGTGTGACCACCGTCTGTTGTAAAACACTGTTCAACAATTTGTGTTAACGTGTACAGCCTGAAGATGTTTTTCTTGTAAACACATCAACGACGTAGTCGTTTGTGAGAAACGCCAGCTGGGCAAAGAAGAGCCTACAGTCGTCGATAACTTCGACACCTCGAAACGACACGTACATAATTAGTTTACACATTCTTAGCTTCTCTGCAGTGACCTGCAAGTAATAAATTTTCTTACCGCCTCTTTACACAAGCTGGTCACTCGTTGGTACTTTCCCCACTCGCCAGGTTTTACACTGAAGAAAGATGGCGAGCTTCATTAGAAGAAAACGAGCGTTCCTACTGAAGATACTGATTTGCATTCCTATCTTGTACCTGGTGTCTCTGGTCGTCTTCACTGCCAATAGTGACAGGACACTGCCATTCCCAGAGACCAACGAGAAGAGGCACCTAGAAGCAATAGATCAGGCTGATCCGATGGGTAGATTGCCTGGCCGTGACAGAAATCTACATGTGATTCAGATGCAGCCCCAAGCAGATCCTGCTCACAACGTTGACTTGGGTTTTCAGGAGAACAAGAGGCAACTAAAGCCATTGGATGTGAACATTGACCACGAAGTAAAGCAAGTCGGCAAAGTGGACATGAAAGTCGAAAACAAAAACAGACCGGATGTACAAAATATACAGACGGTGGTGAAAACGACAAGTGACCCTAATGCACCGGGTGAGTATTTGTAATTAATATGTATGCTTGTTTTAACAGAATTGTTCTTCTGTTATTTGTTTTTTAACGGCGGTAAGTGAGTTTAGAAATATTCACCCGCGGTTTATGTTTTAGCGTGTCAATGGTTGCCAGCTTGTTTGACAGGACAGTTGACTGAATAGTTAATTTGTAGCTGGTTGGTTGCGTAATCGATTGACTGGCTATAAGGTAAGTTAATTGGTTGATAGGAAGATTTATTAGTAATATAAATGGTTGGTTTGTTAGTTGGTTGATTCATGGTTGGTTAATTATTTCATAGTTTCTTCTTCTTCTTCTTCTTTTTCTTCTTTTTTTCTTCTTCTTCTTCTTCTTCTTCTTCTTCTTCTTCTTTTCTTCTTTTTCTTCTTCTTCTTCTTCTTCTTTTCTTTATTCCTGGAATGCCTCACGGCGTCAGGGGGAAGGAGAGATCTCTAGAATGGGCTCTTCTGTTCGCTTTGTGCACAGTACTTTTCTGTGTCTTATATGTCTGCTGTCCATTAACTGACCTCTGGGTCTGTTACCACTGTATCTGTATAACACTACTCTCTGTCTGCTGCAAATCTTGTTACATGGCGACACCATTTGTTCTGTTGTCTACCTATAAAATTCAGAATTGGTTCTGTGCCGATTCTACACCTGATATCATCGTTCTTACGTCAATTTTTCCTCGTTACACCTAGCATAGTACGTAAACATTTCATTTCTGTTGTGACTTTTGTTCTTCTGTCTTCTGAAGACAGTACACATATTTGATATTGAAAGCAGATCGTTTTGTCTGTTTAATAGTTAGTCAAGTGATTTGTTGGTGTTTTTATTTTTTATTTTTCGTTATGTTACGACTCTTTTTTCAGTGTATGATGATTCTCTATTGACCTCTCTCATGAATTGCCTCGGTATATCGCAATCTTCTTAGTTCTATTACTGCTATAACGTCAGTTGTCCACATTTCTTTTTATTCCATTTAATAAAATTTCCTCAGGTATTTGTTTTCGAATATAATTTTTTTCTTTATGCGTCCAATTTTTTTTAACCTGTGCGCTGACTGTCCTTGATTCACTTCCATAAATCAGTATTGGCTTTGCAGCTGATAAATGCCCTATTCCACTGTGTGCTGTCAGTGCCAGCCATACACGGTTCTAGAAAAACATAAAAACAAAATAAGGGCATGCCTGATGAGGTTTATTTTAAATCCGACGTGGAAAACAAGAAGAGATAGCGTCACCGATCAAGAAATATGAACAACGCTAGGCACAGTACAGGTAAATGATTTAATAGATCATGAAAGAATCAAATGGTTTGGTCATATGGTCAGAATGGTACAAAATCAGCCAGCAGCTAGAGTGTATTACATAAGAGCAGCAGGCTACAAGACAAGAGGCTGACCAAGAAAGTGTTGTTGGAGGGAGTAAAAGAGACAATGCAGAAACGCAGTATGACCGCAAGCTATGCGACTAGTGAGAGACAGTAAACCACTATTAACTCTTCTCTACGACGCTTTACTGCACAAGCAGTATGACAAAAGACAGTAAACTACTCTCTCCGACGCTTTACTGCACAAGCAGTATGACAATAGACAGTAAACTACATATGACTCCTCTCTACGACGTTTTACTGCACAAGCAGTATGGCAATAGACAGTAAACTACATCTGACTTCTCTCTCCGACGCTTTACTGCACAAGCAGTATGAAAACAGACAGTAAACTACATCTGACTCCTCTCTCCGACGCTTTACTGCACAAGCAGTATGACAAAAGACAGACTAACTCCTCTCTCCGAAGAACAAGCAGTATGACAAAAGACAGTAAACTACATCTAACTCCTCTCTCCGACGCTTTACTGCACAAGCAGTATGACAATAGACAGTAAACTACATCTAACTCCTCTCTCCGACGCTTTACTGCACAAGCAGTATGACAATAGACAGTAAACTACATCTAACTACTCTCTCCGACGTTTTACTGCACAAGCAGTATGACAAAAGACAGTAAACTACATCTAACTCCTCTCTCCGACGCTTTACTGCACAAGCAGTATGACAAAAGACAGTAAACTTCATATGACTCATCTCTCTGACGTTTTTTTTTTTGCACAAGTAGTATGACAAAAGAAGCAGAGAAGTAATGGCTTTTGTCAGTTTTTGAAAACTCTCTTGCTCACCCGACTTGATGACGAACACTTATATGAAATATTTGTTATCATGCGAAATTACATATTTAAATGGGTTGTTTCACACTTAACTTATTGGATGTATCTCATGGCTGTTGTTTATCAAAGTACTCAAATTTTAAAAGTAGTTAATTACTTTAAAGTCTAATTTTTCCGAGAAGATGGATTTTGTGAACCAGAGTATCCCACATAGGTGTGTGTCTCTATCCGCAGAACGATTAGCTGCATGATTATTTCATATTTCAAAGTACGAACTCCATAGCTGCAGCGACGATTCCCATGGATCTGCACAAAAACAGCACTCTTAAACTCAAATACGCATCATTGAAACAAACCCAAACTTCACAACTTTCAGATCGCGAACTAAACTGTATGACCACTATGTGAAACAATCTGGATGACAGTTTTCTTTTCCATCGCTTTTGTTCTTTCCCTGTAAAATGTCACACACTTTTATTGATTTTTGTTATTGTCACAAATGTATAAATATCTCCAGGATGTTAACCCGGTCAACAAATGCCTGCATAAGTCGAATGTGTCGGCCGAATGTTACAAATATCGCAGCTATGCTGTAAACGGGCACAATGCATTTAAATCTTCGGATAAACGCAGAAGAAGAAGAAGCAGATCAATATTTTCTATATGTACATCCACGCTTCTTCTTTAATGCTTCTGTTTGCTGTTATCAAAGTACTCAGATCATTGAAGATATTGACTTCTTTAGTACTAATCTTATTTTCTGTGTTAGGCTTCTTTCAAAGTGCGAAATTCCGTGTTTCGATTTCTGACATTTTAATTTCAGCGACTGGCGCGTCGACTTGCCTCTACAATCTGCGAACTCCAGTTAGTTTACATACTGATATCCCACCATGCCACGACAAAAGGCTTTCAAGAATCTTCACGCGTTGTCTTTCTCAATCATTGCACAAAAGTGTATTTTTGCTACGGGACACCAGTAGCACACATATATCTTCGTGTAGGGAGTCCGCAGTCCGAAACCCAAGTTCAAGGTGTCTCCTTCGTGCCAAAGAACTGCATGGCTGTTGGGTGAACAGTCGTTAACGAAGGCAGTCAGGTCGTTGTTGGGGCGACGCTTGTTGGTGGATGTAATGTCCTAAATCCCTTCCCCAGCTAATAGTAGGGTACTGCTGGGGTGACAGTTTATTAACCCTCACATAATGCTTCAGGTCCAAATGAACACTAGGCACTGCCACTGTTTTGAGCCGAGGCAAAATTTTTTTGCTTCTGCCAGACTGTGGCCGTTGCTTTTTTGCTCCATTTGTAGATTGGAAGTATATAGTTTCGTTACCCAGCTTATGAGTTGAGTGCATGGCGTGACACTGTGAGCTGCGGATTTCATTTGATATGTTTTTCGACTGACCAACGTGGTGGTGTGATTTGTAGATTCAGAAAATGGCGCGATGCCGGTTGTCGCAATATTGGTGGGGCCATTATTTGATTAAAATTGATCGCGTGTGCAACTGCTGATCTTTTGGTGACTTCTGCTACCATCAATGATGAACTGCATTTCTAACGTCAGACTGTTTGTGTTAGCACTTCGGATGGCTACCATATGCTTTTAATGCGAGTGTATGCTAGATTTGCTGAGACAGCAGTTTGTCAGTCTTTCCACAAGGGACTGCGATAAACATTCTGTGTGTTTTTCATTGGCACAGGAGCGGAGCAAAGATGGGATGACCCGTTTGCTATGAAGCTGAAATTAAAATTACCAGATTACCAGATTATCAGATATCTAGCATACACACGCATTAAAAGCCTACTGTAGCCATCAGAAGTGCTAACACAAACAGTCCGACATTAGAAATGCAGTTCATCATTGATGGTAGCAGAAGTTATCAACAGATCAACAGTATATGAGGGCATATATAAGTGTGCGTATGGGGGAGTGTGTTTGAGTGTATGTGACTGTATGTGTCTAGTGACATACTATCACAAATGAGACTCCCGTCTAGTGACCTACTATCTTACATGGGACTCGTGTTAAGTGACTTACTATCACAAATGAGACTCCCGTCTAGTGACTTACTATCACAAATGAGACGTCCGTCTAGTGACCTACTATCTTACATGAGACTCGTGTCTAGTGACTTACTATCACAAATGAGACGTCCGTCTAGTGACCTACTATCTTACATGAGACTCGTGTCTAGTGACTTACTATCACAAATGAGACTCCCATCTAGTGACTTACTATCACAAATGAGACTCCCATCTAGTGACTTACTAACACAAATGAGACTCCCATCTAGTGACTTACTATCACAAATGAGACTCCCATCTAGTGACTTACTATCACAAATGAGACTCCCATCTAGTGACTTACTATCACAAATGAGACTCCCATCTAGTGACTTACTATCACAAATCAGACTCCCATCTAGTGACCTACTATCTTACATGGGACTCGTGTTAAGTGACTTACTATCACAAATGAGACTCCCGTCTAGTAACTTACTATCACAAATGAGACTCCCGTCTAGTGACTTACTATCACAAACGAGACTCCCGTCTAGTGACTTACTATCACAAATGAGACTCCCGTCTAGTGACTTACTATCACAAATGAGACTACCGTCCTTGATACAAAAATGCATTTAAACCATATCAAATCTTCACTGACACACACCAAGCAAAATCTAAAAAAAAAAAAAAAAACACGGAACTGCAAAACAAAAACTAAAAAACATAGTAATCGGCGAGCCCTAAGTGCAGAGCTACAATAGACGGGTAGGTCTCCACAGGGTCCGTCCGGAAGTCAAATAGAAGGCAAATACTCAGTCAGTTCTTTTTTTATACCCAGTGGCCAGATTTTTTCCGCTTTTTACTGTCTTAAACTAAAAGCTGTTCCTGTGGCCTCTCGGTCATTTTTAAACCAGATTAAATATAATCGTTGAGCTGCTAAACAGTTTTTTTCCAGCTTATTACAAAAGTAAACACAGGAATTTTTTTTTTTTTTTTCCTTGTTCCTACTACACAATCTGCCTTTCAACGTAAGTCTCTGCAGAGGCATCTGGCTGGTATAAGCCTTGATGTGTGCTACCTAGATTAAGCATTCGCGGCGTCATATATTCTGTCTATCGCTTGTATGATTTTGACCTCAATTCCTGCTTCCATTTTAACTAAGTAGCAGGGCTCCCTGCGGTGCAGTTTCGTATAGCAGTGTCGACACATGTCCGATCCATTTGACCCATTGACTGTTGATGTAGCTTTACATTAGGTCTAACCAAGCTTGTTTCCTGATACTGTATCTTCATTTCTTGTTACATTCAGGATTTGTCTTTTCCTGTTTTTATTGTCCATGTTTTTCATAGAGACATTCGTTTTCTTATATATATTTAAAAAATTATAGCAGAAGGAAGGAGGGGCAGGGGCCGACCGAATAGAAGATGGGCACAGGATATAAGTGACTCCTTGAGTGTGAAAGTTCATGAGGCGGGAGAACTGGCAAGAGACCGAGTTTCTTACAGACAGACTGTGATGAGAGCGACGTTCTGCAAAGGACCTGCTATATGATGATGATATATATATATAACTGCATAATCTCGCCATACTAAATTTACAGGTGAAAACGGAAAAGGTGTCGCCATTGACAAAGATAAACTTTCTGTAGAAGACAGAAAGAAATTTGATGAAGGCTGGAAGAACAACGCCTACAACCAGTTCGCCAGTGATATGATCTCTCTGCATCGAAGCCTTCCCGACGTCCGGGATAAAGAGTAAGTTACTGCATGCTTATTTCCATGAATGTCTTTATTTATCTAGTTAAGTCGTCAACTAAAAAGTAAAGTAGATGGCCTTTTTAACCTGACTGCATATATTTATCACTGATTGGCCGTGCTGTGGTCATTGGTCAGCATGACCCTAAAGCTTTTGCTGTCCATAAGACTTGCTGGCATCCATTTTAGGTTGATTGACCTGAACTCAGCACAAAGACATCTGGGAAAATCACCCAGTCTACCTTTTTTGCACCTTTTTTTTTTTTTAAATCTCCGACATATGCAAATGTGCCACAACAACCGAAAACTGTGTCTCTGGAACTGTGAAAAGTGCAGTTCAATACAATGATTTTTTAATTTTTTTCATATACTAGGGATGATGGTTACTGAATTAAGCGGCTTGTGGATTATATAGTAAATAGAGAGAGAGAAAAAAAAAAGAGTTGTTATGGTAAATGTTATCGATAAGATCGAGTGAACATAAAATGTGCTGCAGGACTCTAGTGCCTCTGTACGAACCACCACTGCTTGAAATCCAGCCTTGTTACACAGTGAGGTGATGTGAGATTTGGTTCTCCTGCGTTTCTCCAGAAATAAGACCGGGTCTTTTATTATTTTACTTAAAAATACACTATGCATTTTTTTTTTAATTTCTGAGATGCCCCAATTTCCCCCCCCCCCCCTTTTTTTTCCACCGCTCCCCTCTTCCACCGCTCCCCTCTTCCACCGCTCCCAGATACAAAACACTTATTCGTGTTATAGAATGTGCAAATACAGTCATGTAATCTTCTTCTGGAATCATCTCTTCAAATCCAGAATTCCGGCCTGAATGTCTTGCGGCGACTCCATTTGCTATAGAACCATCGCATAGAAAAGAAATGTAAAAACCAACTAAAACATAACTGGTTACTTTAATTCAATGCCTTTTTCACTCACCATATATACACGAACAAGCATTAGCAAAAAAAAAAAAACAGATTCGTGTTTTCTAAAAGACAAAGAAACGAGCTCCACAAAGTCTATTTCTGAACTCTACTATAATTATTCTGTCTCAAAAAAAAAAAGAATTATGTTCAAAGAGCAGCAAGACCGCATATCTAAGACCGCTTCCTGTTTAAACCTCGGATCCTAATAATCCCTGAAACATAGCATTCAGACGTCTCTACGAACCGGCAACCAAAACTCTAGTCATCTATTAAAGGTTGAATAATGACGTAATTTCAAAGACATCCAACGGTAGAAAGAACCGGTGTTAAACCTCATTTATTATACCGTAGTGTTTTTAAAAACTGCAGGAAGTGGTTGAGTTTGAAACAAAACAAGCCTGTCTGGGAAAATACGCTTCTCGAAGTTGGCCATAAATCTAAGACAGTAACGATTATCACCCCTAAGCTAGCCTGTTCTGGCCACATTTATTTGCGCCATGGGCAAAGAAAGAACAGATTAATCTTACACATCCCCAAACCGACAGTTCTGTTGTTTAGTATAAGTACTAGTTGTTGATGATTTTGTGAAGAAGCAAGGCTCAGTGTTTGCCAGTGTGTGACTGTTTTAAGATGTTTGTTATCACTTGTTTATAGAAGTGGATGGATGACTTGTTGGCACTCTTCCGAATACTGGTCCCTTATTATTCGAAGACAAAAAAATCCCATTCAGGGCCTCAAGAGGTCGTAGTTAGGGACTTGAGAGGTCATGTAGTTAGAAATATAGAACAGGAACACTACGAACTATGCTTTCTTTTATTATATAATTTCGTTTGAACGAAATTACTGAGTCTTCGCTAGTATAGTTGATAAGCTGTCTGTTTGGTACGCCGGGTGATCGGTGTTCGATTCTCCAGCGAGCAGAAACATTTTTCCTTTTTTTTTTCTTCAAAAGGGTGGTTTGCTCGTTGTGTTGTGGTTAACAACTAGACTGCGATATCTGCGCCTTTAAACAGTATCAGCCACTTTGATTGGTCTGGTACATTAAATAATGGTTATAAAATTAGATTTTTCCAAGTCAGCTAGGATCCGTGCTTTGTTTCCTATGTGACAAAGACAGACAGAAGACATTAAAGAGCTGAGAGATTGGCTGGCGATGCCATCGTTGCAAAGGGCTAACCTATAGATGACGTCGACATTAATACATTAATAACAGAGAGAGGACAGTCATATGATTTTGGAGGTAGCTTAGAATGAGAAATGCAGGAGTAAAGAGAGGCACAGTTGAGATGGAGAGACAATCAGACGTTGGAGATGTTATCCACATAGAAATGGCACTGTTAGCCGTGAGACGCTGGTCTATTTATTGAAGGGGAGTCCGGTGGCATGTGGACTTATCCGAAATGCCGTGACTAAATCCTAATGATAATTCATAACATTTCCGCCATTGCCGGTCCCAAGCCCGGATTAGAAAAAAGAAAGGTTGAGACACCCACCCTGCTAAAAAATGTATTTGTTACAAAAACCTGCAGGAAAGGAAGATATTCTGGTAAACAAACAAGTAAAGGTGTGTGTGGTACACAGAGTGCACGAATTACGGTTAAGGATGAAAATTGCTCTGTGGAAGTCAGTGGCCAGACCTGCATACTAATGGCTCACAAATAATCTACAGAATAGATTTCTGGAGTGAAGAAATAAGATAAATGTCTGGACAACCTCTAGTAATAAACAGGTCTAAGACAGAGAAGATGGCCGTATATTGAACACATCCTGAGAAAAAACCAGCCGAGAATCACCAAACATTCATTAAAATGGGAAATAAAGAGATTCAGGAGGCGAGCACGCCCGACCGAAACCCTGAGTCCGACGTTGATGAGAGAGGCCAAAGCTGCTGGACTGGATTCCATCCATGATATTAAACTGATTTACAGCATAGAACGGAATAGAGGAATAGACTGCGAACCCAATGTGACATCTAATGGGCCCACAGGATAATAATTGAATGAATGATTCATAAGAGTGAACACACAATTAGAAATCTTGGTCTTATAGATCATCCTTTAATGCATGATTATGTGTATCCTGGAACTTAAAGCAGGTAGTGTAATTAAGTGTTCATTGTAATATAAAAAAATATTAGCTCAACACCGTATGTCTGCCTTTCCAGTGGCTTGAAAAACGGAGTCATCTTTGCCATGATAATTTTAACTGACTGAGTCTTTGCAGAGATAACTTTAGCTGATTGAGTCTTTGCCAAAATAACTTTAAATGACTAAGTCTTTGCAAAGATAAACTTAGCTGATCGAATCGTTTCAGCACGCTGGTATTGAAAGAACACCGTTTTGGCATTGAGTATTATTAGAGAGATCAGATCTGAACAAATTATATTCGTCAAAACCGACTTAAGGGATATATAATCATCATAAACCATATATCACATCTTTGATTGTCAGCTGTCGGTATTTATTGGCTTTTATACAATGTCGAACAACAAACGATGAAGTAATCACGCCAACGAAGAATGGCTTACGGTTGTATCTTTATACCGTCTGGATGTTGAGTCTCCACAATTGACATGTATAGTTTTTATGAAAATGCTACTCTGGCAGAAATCTGGCTTTTCCAGCTACACATTAATGGTTCACGGAAATTAATGAGATTGTATATCCACATAAATATAAATTCTGTGGAGGCTTTATGGGAGCCGCTTTAGGATTGCTAGGAAAGTCTTCAGAACTATCCCAATAAAGCCAATACCAAATTTGATAAATATAATTTAAAAATAGATATTGATAAGACTGAGACGGGAGGGGGGTGCGCAAACAGCACGACACTGTATAATTAAAGCTAAAATTGCACCTCAATAAAATAAACACGTGACCTGAAATATTTATTTCCTATTTCCAGTTGAGATGGAAGAATGAATAGAGAGGTCAACAGATTTCCCACAAAGTTGTGACACAACTAACAAAAACCACTTCTTCTTTTTCTTCTTCTTCTTCTTCGCTTTAGCTGGCTGTAAACTCCGGCGGAAAAGTTCTGGCTGTTCGTCCACTTATGGACTCTAGTCCTGTTCTGACCACTTCTGACAGGCACCAAAACAAGTCTCATAAAAACATTTTTTGCCACCATTGTGATGCTAGTATCAAACATGAGCGACTAATGGGGGGTGGTGTGGGGGGGGGGGGAGGGCAGGGTAATAAGATTAGAGATTAGATTTTGCGGAAGAACTGTCTTAGTAACAATCCGAGATAAATTTAAAATAAAGAAATTATTTGAAGCTAAAACAAGCCATAGTTTATATATATATATATATATACGTGGGGAGTGTCTGGGGGTTCCGGGCACCACAAAAGACTCGGGGGAAAGGCAAGACGAGAATTTACCCAGACGACAAGGCGTACAATCAGTACCGACACTCTTGGCTGGCTGTTGAGGAGAGTGCTGGAGATAAAGACGGTGTCTTCTGAATACTGTAGTATCGAATGTTTACCCAGGTTAAAATTCTAGATTACATTAACTTGAACCACAAAAATTCATAAACGTTCAAATTCTTAACTGCCCATACTGTTTTATCTAACACCCTCCAGTTACGGTCCCTGGAATTCCCCCGGGGGTATTTATTCTACGCTCCCACGTTCCTAGTCAGTCTACTAACAAGACATCGACTTGGCCGCTTCGAGATATTAAGCTAAGTGATTTTGTGTGTGTGTGTATGGCATTATTTTATTTATGTATGTGCTGATGAAGGTTCCATAGCCACAACGTTTACGTTGAGTGTGTGTGTGGTGTGTGAGTGTGTGTGGATGTGTGGTGTGTGTGTGTGCGCGTGTGTGTGCGCGTGTTCGTTTTAGTGTGAAGCCTACTGATATACTTCTCGTTCGGTTTTAAACCTTTTCTTGATAATTCTAAATTAGCCAGGCAGAAATTTTTCGCCGAAACGAAAACCGAGCATGTCTGTCATACCTATACTCCTAAGTATTGATTTTTAGCTGTTTGTTTAGCTCCTGTTCTGAGTTATGTTTGGGTTACTTCCGGGTAGCTTAGGATGCCCATCCATGATGTTATGTTATGTTA